TGAAGGCAGTTACCCGGAAGGGCTAGATCACTGCTTGAGTCAGGCTGGGTATCGGTCGGCGGGTGGTGAACGGTTGAATTCTCTTCCCTTGTTATTTCCCTTATTATTATTGTGGTAGCAGCAGTGATTTGAGTTATACTGTAGTTACTGGACTGCTCTTATCTCAACCTGTGGGAGTTACATTCTTTTGATTCTCCTCCCCATCCCTCTGGGAGCAGGGGGAGGAAGGGGAGGAATTAGTGAGCAGCTTCGTAGTTTCTGAGTGACAGGCTGGGCTTAAACCACGACAGTAGCACTTTCCTCTGCTGCTTTGGATGTCAGAAGGGAGTCAAGAATAATAATAATAAAAAAAAAAGCATCTGAAAAAAACAGATTCAATTTAGCAGAATGAAACAGCCAATAAACTTCCAAGTCAGACAGTCAAATAATTAGATTCTAGCAGAAAATCACAGAATTGCCACTGCTAAAAATATTCAGAGGCTATGCTGACTGGATACAAACATCCATCACATATAATTCAGAAATAATGAAATGAGACATCTATGGACAGAAGACAGCCTAGGTTACAGAACAGAGGATTCGCTAGTTCAATAGTAATTTTTGTGACATTCTCTGGCAAATAAGCAACCCCTTGTAGTTGGCAAAAACTATGACCTATTGAGTTTTCCTGCAAACACTAAATTTAATTCTGTGTCACAGCCAGCTTGAATATTATCCCTATTAGTTTTGTCAGCAGCTGCCTTTTAGATTGACTCTATTAATGCAAATTTGCTCTTCTTTCTTCTGTTAGACTGGGAACAGATGAGCCTGTGTCAAATACCACCATCATTATACTAATCTCAGAACAATGACTCTAAATTCTGCATGCAGTTTTATAGTCACATGAAAACTACACTTGCAGTAGATGCAAATTTTTTAGATTAACTTTATTTCTCAATTCTTGTTCCATGGTGTACTGTTTTCAGTTGAGGAGAATTCAAAACTTAATAGCAGTGATACTCAACCATCACTAATTAATGCTAGGATTTTAACAAGGAAGAAATATAATCCTTTGCAAAGCAAGATATCAGACTACTTCTGCAAACAATTTAAAGTTGAACATAATTTACTTTTGATTTCAATCAGAGTTGAACTTATTAAATGCCATCTGTTTTCTAAACAAAGGAGTAGTCAGAAAAGATTTCTGTAAAGAAAAAAAACAAGAAAAAGAACAAGAAAAAAAACAAGGAAAAAAACCCAACAAAACTCTGCCAGCTTGTTTATTGTTGCTTTATATATGGGATTTTTAACCTTGTAACAAATAATAATAAAAAAAAGTTGACCAATAAGACACTCAATGAATATGCTAAAAGGACAAGAATGCAAAAATGCAGTTTTAAATATTTTTTTAAACCTCATTTCTTTTTTTTTTTTTTTCTTTTCAACACATCTATTAATGGTATTATAAAATTCTTCTTACAAAAATACAATTTGTGGATGACAAGCCCAAAGCATCAAGTCCCAGAATAGTCAGTGGAACTACAGCAGTCACAGATGTTACTCAAGGTGAACTGATTGCATTACAGGAGCCTGGAAGGTTACAGCTGTTCATTGAAGAATGAGCTGGACAAGTTCCCCCTACAGAAACACATAGTATTCCCATATAAAATTCATAGAATTTAAGGTCAGATGTGACAAGTAGATCATGCAGCCTCATGTCCTGCTTATTATTGCTATATTTTATGGAGTCACCTCTCCCGTAAACCAAATGTTTGCTTAATTAAGTTATACATTGCATTTGATGAAACTGTTTCTTCTGGAAAGGCACACTGTTGTGATCTGAAAACACTGAAGAGGTGGAAAACCTGGTATTTGTCTTGGGAATTTGTTTCCAAAGCAACTATTTCCATTAATTTGTATCTAGGAAAATGATAACATTCCATCTCTTAGCAAAAATGAGACATCTTAAACATTTTTTTTGTTAGTGTAATTGCGGTCTTTACAATATAAGCACAGAATTAGATTTTTTTGGTAATTATTATTACACAGAAAAAGAGGTAAGAAACAAAATATCAAAATAATATTGTTAAAATTACTGTACAAAAACTTCCTGCCATCTGCCCTTCCTCAGGTTTTACACTTATTCCTCCAGTGCCCCCTGGGTCTCAAAGTCAATGACTTCAGTCTATGGATGGGTGTGATGAGATGTCAGCATCTGGAGTGAACCTTGGGAGAAATATGATGTTGATGCTTTTATATCCCAGAGTGAGGAAGAAGCTTTTTTGGTTTTACATTTGGTAACGTGCTTTGGAGTGTTTTTACTTATGTGAAACACTTTATGTTTGCTTTCTTTGCTCCTTAAAAACTAGTTTTTCCCAGATCCAACTCTGTGCTGCTTCAACTGGTCATTGGAGGGCTCTTTATAACCATATGTCCTCCAGTCCTCCTGCCAGTCTCTGCCCCATCTCTTAGCATCCCATGCCTATACTCCTTTACAATGCATCCTGTGCCTCCACTTTTGAGGCCTGTCATACCAAGCCTGTACTCCTCTACACTGTATAATTAAGTTAGAGACATGTATGGATTTGTTAACTGCTTAATCTTCAAAGAATAGTTATATTCAGTTAGCTTCTTGGACCAGAGTTTTTGTTTGTGCTAGAGGTGCATCACTTCATTAATTCTACTGCCGTTGTAAAGATCCACACAGCCTGTGGGTCTGTCTTGGGAGAAAGAAAAGAAATTGTTCTGTACAATACTTTTCCTATTTTTTTCCTCTTTCTTTCCCTATATGTAATTTTCTTTATATGCACAGCAAAACTTAGTATCAATTTCATATCTAGAGAAGTAAGCTATCCTTTCTCCTTTATTTTGCGACCCCAATCTACCTGATAATATTTTTAGTTTGCTGTGGGAGCAGTTAGAGTAGTCTGAAGCAACACCCTTCTACACTCTTCTGCAGCTTACTGGAAAAAAGCAATTTGTATGATTCATCTCCAATATCTATCCAATCAGAAATTGGCTAAGTGACTTCTTACAAGTGTTTGAATTATAGCAGAGATTTGACCAAGGAAAAAAAAAAAAGGAGGGCAATCATGTGTATGTGTGAAAGTAGGAAAATCCAAGTTTCAGAAATGGTTGCAGTTACTAGGCAGTAAACTCAATTTCCTAATATTTCTTTCCACTGCATTCTAATTGTCCTGCCCTTACCTGTAGTTTTCCCAGAAACGTGGTGTTACATTATGCCATGCATAACCAGGTTGTGTTCACCACCACATCAGTGGGGCAAATGATGTGATATCTCTGCTGATGCACAAAAAATATGAATGCATTTTACATTATTTGCTGTAGTTTAGTGAAATAGCCTATTCTTTGCAATTCAGAGAAATTAATGTTTTGCTGTTAACAATGCTGATCTTTCTACATCAGTCTGACACAAGCTTAGTGAAATATATTTATCAAACTTGGTGGGTCGGTACATATGGTAAAATAATAACAGAAAACAAGTTATCACTTGAGTATTTTAATTCATTTGCTATTTCAACTATGTGTGCTATTTCAACTATCTGGTGTATTTATTGCTTCAAAAATCAGCTAGACTGGAGCTTTCTGAAACCAAGGGGGAAGACATAGGGACAAAGAAGAGGAAGCATGAGGGCAGCATTTACAGAAAAAGGATGACCAGAATCCTACTGATTAGGACGCTCAGGTAGGGTTTGGAAAACAGAAAAACTGTCAGGTGAAAGTAAAGGGTTATTTAAAACCCTAGTCACTTCAGGAAGCATGAAAAAATCATTGGTGGATGATGTCTGCAGAATGAAGAAAGCCATTTATTGAGTTACCTTAAGAGACAAAAGCAATATTTTTTCTTTGTTTGTACATTGTACAGTACCTGACACAGTGTTGTCCTCTGATAGGACTCAGTGATGTTGGAGTAACAAATCAAAAATACGGGACATGAAATGAGGGACCACCTTGCTTGTCTGTCTTGTTTAATAAACTGCAGTTTGACAACAGATATGGCTCAAGCGCTCCTTCTTTAAAAACCTGGCAGAGCACTTCCTTCATATATAATCACCTTGCAGCTCAGAGATGTCAATGTGAGTTTAATGTCATTTTTTTACCATCAAGCACTATATAAAAAAACAAAACAAAACAACAGTCACCTGGTTTTCTGCAAAAGATGTAAAACTAGAAAATATCCCCTAGAAATCCAATACAAACTCTGAAGTGTGCTCTGAATTATTTGGGTTAACTGATAAAAATGGACTTTCATGTCTATGTCTGATTCCAACCAGATGATTGGTAGTGGGACATCCTATGGCACACAGACCTGGTATTAATGACAGTGAGGTGCATAGCCTGATTATGGGATAGAAGCTGGATTCTGGTTTGAATTAAGTCTCTTCATTTACACCTCAAAGACTGACTCAAACACCAGAAATTAAAAAAAAAAAAAATATAATAATCAAAAGCAACTACATTATCAAAACACATCTTCTCAAAATCTGAGGCCAGAAAATAATGAGCATTAAGGGGTTTATGAGTATTTTTCAGTCAGTTCAAAATGAGAACAGATTGACTATTCCAACTGTATTTCTGGTAAAGAGCATTTTCAAAGAACATTTGTTCTTTGATTGTAGAGCAGTACAGTGTACACGTGAGTGTGCATGAGTGTATGAGCCGGTAAGTGTGAGAGCAAAAGAGAAACATGGAGATTCTGAAACTTGATTTCTCATACAGAGTCTCAGAATATTAGGCTACTCTGTGACTTCTTTCAGAATCTGTGGCTTGACACAGGATATTTGCAAGTTCATTATGCAGGGTAATTATATCTGAAGTTAGAAGAGCTTTTCTTACAATAAAACATTATTTTTGAAGTTTATTTCTAATAAGATCTTATTGTGACATTTTTTCCTAGCATTACTACTAACACACCTTGCTTGAACCCCGATAATTAGAGATTGAGAAGTGACTGGAAGAAAAGCAACTACCAAAAAATGTTCCAGTGAAAGGATTATTATATCATTTTGATACCAAATGAAAATGCTATAAAGAAAATCAGCAAAGATACCTCTGTGAAATCAATATCTAAGTCCAAGCTGTGCTCTCAGTTTCACTGATGAGTCCTCTCTCACAATGAAGGGGAAAAAGCATTGAAAATATGTAATTGATATGTATTTTTAAAGTGAGAGCAAAAAGAGATAACCAGAGGTTTCTATGCTTGCATCTTATTTTTACAGTGCAGCCCACTTATTAAATTAGTATTGTCATGTTAAATCAGGGAACTTAGATCAGGAGCATGTTAGCACTTATTTTTGTATGAATTAAAAATATTAATAATTTAGAATAATCTAGGTCACTTTTCTTAATAGTCATCTGTTTTTCTTCCAAGGTGAAGTTTTAGTGAAGCATAAGCTCATGTTCTGAAATACGCAGCCACATCTCAGTCTTCAGAATTTCACAACCAGCAGTGGCCTTTTGATCCCACAAACAGTATCCAAGGCACCAGAAATGGCTTTTGACTGGTCACCTGTGAGTGAGTGAGGGTGAGGAACAAGGTTTAGAATTTTTTTCTAAGAGATGTCAAAAAACATTCCCACTGGACAGACTCTGAGATATAAAAAAATCCTATCAAGTGATGAGTGTTCCCAGTAGAATAAAAATCAGATGGCTTCTTCAGCCTGGCCAAAAGGAAGAAAATTGGTTTAGATATTGTGGGGTTTATTATGAACTAGTTCTTAATAATTTAGTTAACATAGCTCTACATTTGGGCAAAGATCAAGCACTTGTTCTTACAAAATGCACTTAAACTCTTCTTGCATTCAACTTCGTAAAATTCATTTTTAGCAAATTTTTGTACCATACTGAAACAGACATCTGTGAACTAGTTAATGAATCAAAATGTGTGGAGAACTTAATGGAAAAAAAGTACTCTAGGCTTTGTGTATAGCCTGCCTCTTCAACCTGACTAAGCTTCATTCTTAAGATATCATGACTTAGGTTACAGCCTGGCTTGATAGGAGTAATGAAGTGTTGCACTGAGTGTGTATGCTGACACTGGGTGAAATTTCTAAACTGAAACACTAATATATTTTCAAAACTAATTTAACTAAGAGTCACATTTTCTTCACCTCCTTAAAAGTCCTAGAAGTTGTAACTGGACATCTGTTTTCTCTGCTGTCCTCCTTCTGTACACAACAGCAAGGCACTCTGGGTACAGTCTGGCTTACACCTGGATTCACTACTTCGTTGTCATGTTACAGTTTTCCACCAGTTTTCACAGTGCATCAGATCTTCTTAGTGGTTTAACATAGAAGAAAAAAAAAAAATTCTTAAGGCCATCTGATATCAAGTAAATAAATAAAGAAAAAAGCCCCCCAGGAACTAGAAACGCTTGGTTTAATTCATATCAAATGCATCTTTTACAATGACACTGGTAAAATAATAGATATAAGAAAAACTTATAAAAGCCATCAGTAATTCAATACTAATAAAAAAAAATCAATAATAGGTATAAGAAAACCTTATAAAAGCCAGTAATTCTCTTAATACTAATAAAAAAATCAAATAGGTAAATAATTGTAATTTCTTATTTAGTTCAATTACATAATATTAAATTTATAAACAATGCCGACTTTAAAGCTTTGAGTCTGAATCATTAAATATGCAGGCTTTTAATCAAACAACAGCTAAATCATTTATTTAGCTTGCCCTATTCTCTCTTCCCTTCATTAGCTTTTTTTTGGCTTGGAGTTCAGCTATTCTACTGAAAAGTTTTGTAAATATTTTCCATTGATATGCTAGTGCACACAAGCCAAAACCCAAAGCTGTCAACCTGTTCTGTGCCTCAAGCATTAAAACTAGCTTTAACATACTTGTGATAAGAGGCAAATTTCCTAATTTTATAAATATTTTAGAATAGTATTGATCTTATTAACAGAATAATAATTGTTGTTACATAAAATGAAATTGGATTGTCCTGTATTTATTCTTATTCTCATTTCAAGTATTTGGGCATTTGTCCAATTCACCCAATAAAATAAAGCTGCTATATGTCTTTTATTCACACAAGCAATGTATATATTTTATATGGAAATTTAGTATCCGTAATATTTTTATTTTCTACAGTTCTCTCCCAATTATATTTTATTGTTCTGTTTTATAATTTCATTTGAACAGCAGTAAATAATGACTATGCCTCACAGATACTGATTAGGTATTGGAGTCTTACCATCAACAGTGGAAAAGCTGAGAAAAATCAGAGTTATATTTTTTTCTACAAAAAATACATGAATTCTACGGGGAACATTTTTTTTTTTCCCCCTCAATTTTTGAGGCTGTTTTTCCCCCCCAGTTGCTTCTAACAGTGTATAAAGAGTGAAATAACTTTTACCATTACTTTTAGTATCTGCAGCTAGCCCTTAGGACATGTGGCACCCAACCCATATCCAGTTCTTCACACCAGAATTGAACAAGTAGAGGAACATTTGCTTAACAATAGGCAACATAGAACTAAAAGTGCTTTCACCTCTCAGTTCTTTGGATCTTGCCTGTCTTAAATATACAGGAAAATGTTTTTTAAAATTAATATTACCACTTCTTATTTTTCATGGGAGAAGTAACAAAAATTAAATTATACATTTAAATTAGTCTTCTAAAAGTACAATACTGAAACCTTCAGGTAATGCAAAGATAAAACTTCTTATCTTTTTTTTTGCCTGCAGCAGTAAAATCTTTCCAATCAAAAGTCTATACTTCTGGCCAGTGTTGCAAAGTTGACCAAAAGACAAACCATAGGAGAAAAATACAAAAGACATGGAAAAAGTAATTTTCAGACTGTCTACATTATTGCACAGCTTATAAACATTCAAGTATTCTGCTAGATATGCATTTTTGTTGATATTTATTAAATCAAGAACACAAATATGAACTAGTTTCTGAGATGAAGGAAAAAGCTAACATTTCAATGTCTTGTGGAAATTTGGGGATAAATTCTATTCAAATTTTTCTTCATGTCTTCCAGTTATACCTAACTTGCAATGTAATAGTAGTAAGCATATTTTGTTGTTTGTAAGAAATTATTCAATGACTAACACAACTAACTGCAACTTTCTTTGCGGTGATGTAAATAAAGTTCATATAGGCCTTGCATCAGATAAATCCTGAATAGATGGATTTCATTGCCTTTATTGTAGTGAGGCTGTTACTGAAATATAGCATCTCTTTCTGGTGGATACAATACAAAGCACATCAGTAGGGTGCTCAGACTTTAAAAGCAGTTGTATGAGTGACTTGAATTTTTAAAACTTGCCTATAATTACAAATCTTGCTCAATCTATGTTTAAAACATGCAAGAAAAGCTAATATAAGTTGATCTTAGGCTACAAGTATTTATACATGAAAAAAAGGTAAAGCAGGTAAAGAGAACTTAATACTAGAAACTAGATACACTAATAATGAGGACAATTCAACTATTCCACAAGCTACAAGGGAATAGACTCTTACCCTGTGAAGTGTCGAAAGCAAGATTAGATGACTTCCAGAATGCTCCATAGCACAGGCTCCTGAAGGAGAGCAGAAGTTCAGCATGAGCAGGTCATATTTGTGCCATGCGGGACAGCCCAGCTGCATCCTTGAGCTCCATGTAATTTAAAAGTAAAAGGTGAATGCTACAGAGAGCAAGAGAAAATGGTTTGACACCAATAATTTTCCCCCAAATGTGGTGACTGTCACTGCCTTCCCTACAAGCTGGTGGGGGTGAAGTCCACCCGTGCAGAGCAGCAGTGCCTTTCTCTCTCTATGCCTATTCTTCCCCACTCCTCCTCACACACTCTGCCACTGCTGGTGCTGGACTGTGTCAGCCTTTTGCTTTGCAGACTGGCATCCTGAAGCACTGCAAGATGCTATCCCATGCCACTGGCAAGAGTCATGAGAAAGCATCTAAGAGACATCAGGGGTCCATTAGCTGTGACAGCAACTAGCAGAACCATGAGGGTTGCAGGAAAGGCAGGCTGCTGCCTTCAGCAAGAGCTGCAAATCAGATAGGTAAGTGGGAACAAGTCAGGTATTCAGCCTGTTTTCCATGCTCCTGCAGGGGAGGCAGCTACCTGGGAGCAGGATGCCAGATAGCATCCTGAGGACTTGGTGTGGCAGGAAGCCACAAAAGAAGTAAGAAAAAATGTCTCTTGAGGAGCACACAGACTCAAGGGACAGCTCCTTCAATGAGTTTGCTATGCTATCTTTTTCCACTTGTTTGCAAAAGCAGTGACAAAACCTTTATGCAAGTAAGGCAACCCTAGTTCCACAGCCACAATATAAATTTAACCCTATTTAATCTTTACTTCTTTTCCTTGGTTTGTTACACTTTTTCATTTTACCCAGTTCCAAAAAGCTGCCTATTTCCCTTATTCTCCCATAAGATAAAGAATAAAGTGGACAAAAGATAAAAACCAAAAGAGAATAAATTGCACAATGCTGACAAAATGTTCTCCTTAGGAAAAATTCCCACTGATTGCTAGAGACAAGAGATTTCAATTGGAGCTTTGCCTGAAGAAATAACAGAGAATTAAACCCAAATAAAATAATCACATAATAAAACTTCTCATTCACAAGTGAAGAAATTAAATTCTATTTCAATTCTCACATGAACAGCAAAGTCTTTGTCCCACTGATGTTCCGTAGGAGTTTTGCCATTGATTTTCAATGAAGCTAAGATTTTACCTCAGGGCATTTTCTTTCATATCCTATTTATTATCTCTTTACTGTAACACACCACATAAGCTTCAGCTAATACTTGCAGCAGAATGAATAAACACATATTCTAAGAGCAGATATTACTGTCCATTTTAGGCTTGTCTATACAATGCAGTTTTTAATTCTGGAGGAATTATGACATTTTGAATGAAGAAAAAAAATTAAAAAACCAGAACACCAAAACCCAACTGAATTCTGGCACTGAAATTAAAAAGAACATATATTGACTGTCAAATCCTTCCCAGGAAAAGAAATCACTGTATATGGTCAGCTGCTGTCTGTCATTTCCTAAGCTGTCCATTTTATTGCATTTTGAGAGAGAATAAATATGCATCCAGCTGACAAATTAAAAGCTAAATTAATCCAAATTTTTTAATGCAGTATGTTATCCATCTGATGCAAATGAAAATTATGCAGCTTTAGAAATATGTTATAATTGATGAATTGCAGTTTTAAAAGAAAGTGGTTTACTTTAGGGTTTATTATAGTAGTAACAAGTCAGTACTTCCTTGGTGCCTTTAAGAATACTTGTCAAAAAAGCTATGCTTCTTTTCAGCAACAATGCCCTCAAGAAGGCAGTAAAACTGAACATTTTGGGGAAAATATTGCTGGACTCTCAGAGGAAAACAATTTCTGAATAGTTTATAGTGTATTTTGCTGTACTACAGATGACAGTTGTTAGTAAGTTCTTATACTATAAGCAGAGAGCAGCTGCAAACTTCTAGCTACAAGCTAAAATGAAATATTTTAAGATCTGCAGATGTGTCCTGAGAAACTAAGTTTCCATAACAACAATTTGTTGTGCCAACATTATGAGGCTGTCTGCACCTCTTGATTTCTGTAGCCAATAACTTGTGGTTGCCAGTATAATACTGTTATTTTAGCTGGCACTAAATGTTTTGCTTGTACATTTGCACAGCCAGAGTATTACTGGTGATTTTAGAAGACAAAAAGCATAGTTATTAATATGGCTTAAAACTTTAGTATAGTTATAGGAGAAGGAGGATGCTGCTTTAATATTTCAGTTAATAAAGTTGGAACACTCCTATGCTACCGAGATAGTATAGTAGAATAAGTATTTATGTGCTTCAAATATCAAGCAACCAGGAACTAAGTATGAAATTCAGGGTTTTCTTCTATGATTATTGCTCAAACCAAGCCTAAGAATTCAGCTATTAAAGAAACACACCTGAAATACAGAAGTGAGAGATATAAGATAATATAAAATTCTAAATTTTTCTGAGCACAAATGAAGAATCAACTTAGACTCAAAAGTTTCTCTTAGCAAGACAGACCATAGAAAGTGCCTATGAGTATTTTCCTTTTGAATACCAACTCCAGCAGGCAAAGACCTTGTAGTATTTTAGGTAGAAAAATTAGGGTCTTTATAGCTGCTTTTCATAGCAATACATGATCCATATGAGAATATAATACTAGTATCTTTACTACAACAAAGTGATTCCTTCACATTGTTTCTCAGAGCAAAGCATACCCTAACCAAAGTGCAGCTGCTAATAGATTATGTTATTTCAATTTAGAGGATTTAATCTAGTCTGGCCACTATTTTTGCCAGGCTTGCCGTTAAATGTGCTCATTGCAGCTACCTGCAGCTGGTTTCTCCAACACCTGGCTTTCTTTTTACATGGCTTTCATGTATTATTTTTTTTGTTCTTTCATATTTTCTCCTTAATGGTCTATCTTCTGCTTTTATCGTCTTCTTCCCCTAGTATCAGGTCATTCTGTGAGTGGCTTTTTTTCCACTATTACTTCTCCTCCACTTTCATTTTAGGTTGTTAACGAGTTTGCCATCTTTTCTTCTCATATATTACTTTCTTTTTCTAATACTCATACTGTTTAATGCCTGTTTTCCTTACCAGGATAAACAGATTGATAAAAACCAAAATTTTTTACAAGGTAGGTACTTCAGACTACATCAGTAGAATATTTCTGGGGACTTCCTTCCTGCAATAGATCTGTGTGTCTCTGACTGAGCTCAATGAAGGAACTGAGCTAAATGACGGAACTGACCCTTGACAGCAAAAACTGTAGAACTACTGTTTGCATTTAAAGAAAGCTGGCTTAGAGGAGAAGGAAATACAGTCAGTTTGCAGGGTAGTTTCATTTCTTGACAAACTTACATTTAAGTCTCAAAGACTATTAAAAAAAAAAAAAAATAAGGAGCTCTCTGTGGTTTCCCCCACGTGTGCAGTATTAGATGAGCTTCAGACTAGAAAAACATACACTTAGCCAAGTGTAACATTTGTATACTCTATAAAATTGCTAGCAAGCTAAATGTATTGTTGGGAAAGACCTATTAAAATCAACCAATCAGAATTATGAAAGAAAACAAGAACTGGATTTTAATAGAAAATGGCCTTCAGTAATGTTAGTCACATCATTTAATTCACTCTTGGGGGCCCATAGACACTAATATAGTGTATTTGATTCAAGACTTAAAAACAAAGAATAACAAAACGGAACAGAGAAAATGTAATTTTGCCAGCCTCGAACTGAGGATAATGGAAAGGAAACAGGTAATGGAAAGGAAACAGGTGAAATGGAATAGTGAGTAGTGATGGGTGTGAGATAAAGGCTAACCGTTTCTGCCATTTTTAACATTCTGCTGCTCAAGTGCAAATATTTTGCTTCTTCTTTGACCCCAAATTGAAGAGAAAATGTGAACATCGGTAAACAGTTGGGAAATTCAACACTACAAGTAAAAACGGGTGTATGTGTAGTATTTCACATGGGAGACCATCATGTACCAAGATCATCCCTCTTTCTGAATCTGCATGCCCATCCTGGGAAATACAATCTGATGTATTACTAATGTCAAAGTTATGTTTCTGAAAAGAATGAGACACTTATGGGCTTTGTATGTATTTCCTTGACTGTGGAAGGCCTGTACAAAACTGAGGTCTGACAACTGAATTAAGAACAGCACAGAATGAACAATGTTGGTGTCCTCAAGAACACTCTTTTCATACTAGTGTGTATCTGGTAGCTGAGCACACTTTACATTCTTTGTGATTAAAAGAAAAAGCTAGTTAGTCTCTCCAGAGATACTGAATACAACAGAAACAATGACAAGTACATTTTTTATTATTTGAGACACTACATAAACGGTAGATTTAGGTGAAAAGAATGAGATTCAGGCAGAGATATTATTGCCTGTTTTCAGCTAATCATTCAGAGGTAAAAGCACTCTGCCTGCCCTTGTCAATACTTTCAGCCAATCAGTTCCCATTCAGATTCAATTTTAACAGTTAACAAACAAAAATTAAATGTATAATTAGTTTCTTAATTATTAGAGGTTTTTTTTAGGAACTATTAGTATATTAGATGCCATTTTATTTCTGTCCCATATCATTTATTATAGTATAGTAGGATATTCTTTAGAAATTAAAAAAAAAAATCAGAAATAAAACAAGTAGAAAATGCAAACTCTCTTCAATAGTGTTAGAATAGAAGAAGAGCTGTTTTCAGAAGTCCTAGCTAGCAATTTGCGAATGTGCAATTAAAATTCTGACTCTTCTCTAATTATGGAACACTTAAGTTAAATGGTCTTAATAGATATATAATGATGGCTTTATAAACCTACAGTTACTTATAATCTAAAATAATTTCTACTTCATTTTAAAAAGCGTTCATTAAATGCCTATTATGATCTTTATGTAATTTAGCAAGACATTTCATGAATGCTTTATAAAACTAAACCACGATTATTACCAAAGACAAGTGTTAACCATATAGATTAACATGCTATTAATGTGAATTAGTTTTTACAGACTAAATAGTAAAACATGTACTT